ATTCCACGATTATACTCCAGAACACAGGTCGGTTTTATTTGTCGATGCAATTTTGTTTATCGGTACTGTTAGGAGGGGGAAAGCATCTCCAACAGTCTAAACAAAACAGCATCAATGCACGACCGAAACAATTAAAGAATCTAATAATGAAATGCACGGCGTTCGCCGAATACAGTTCTTGACGTCTTGGAGACGTCAAAGTCTACAATGGCACATGAAGTAAATGACGTCTCCCAGACGTCATTGTATGTCAAGTGGTTAAGTATAATATTCGAAAATTAAATAATTTTTAAAACGTGTGTTACAGAATCGGCCGTGGTGGTCGTTTTGGTCGTAAAGGCGTGGCTATTAACTTCGTGACAGAGGACGATAAACGGGCCTTAAAAGATATTGAACAATTCTATAATACTAGCATTGATGAAATGCCAATGAATGTCGCAGATTTAATCTAAATCTGACTATTGGCTATAATTCATTATAATTACAAAAAAAAGAAATAAAAGTAAGTGAAATACGGAGCTCTCAGCTGATCTCTCATGGTGTGTGAGTATATATAGAGTGAGTTGGTGAATTACAATCGCTTATGTAAACGCGATTTACCAAAATATTCCAACGTTCTCGCCTCAATTTCATTTTATAACAGTAGTTTACAGGAATAGTTATTCGCTAATCTAGAGAAATTAGTACTATTACATATAATAATTATTACAATTATCAGTACAGATATATATACATATATATATACACATATATATATGTATATATATTACCATACTACTGTTTCTACCACTCTTCGCTCGTACCGCTGTTATATTACCGTTAACTGGTGTGTATACTCTTACGCTTTTTTCTTCTTGGTCTGTATTTATTCCTCTATTTCCTGCTTCTATTTTTATCATATATATTATATATAACCCCTATTAATATTCCTGGTACCCCTGCATTACTGTCACGAAAAGCTAAGTGTTCACAGTTTCGCTGAACGAATTTGTAGAATTATTAATAATACAATCGTCGCGACTGTAACTAGTGCAAGGTGATAAAAAGAAAAAAGTGTGGAGTCAGGCATTTCACCCAGTTCGGTTGTTTTTCACCGTTTTGCTACTACCCTTCCGAAACTTTCTATTGTCTAGATGCACCCGCCGTATTATCTCCCTGTGTATCCAAATTTCGTTATGAACTTCAAATTCTTTGTCTTGAACCATCTTATTATTTCACCTTTTCTTTTACGCGCCTTTTCCAATTGGATGATTCATTCCATGTTCTGTGGCCCTTCTTCAACGCTCCTACCACCGCGATTGCAACGTGTTCGTCTAGGCAGAGGTTTAGTTGGGTATTGGAAGGGATACTTTAATCACAAGCGTTGCCGAAGGAGATGTACAATTCAGACTTAGACGATATGAATTTTTGTATATCCCAAATCCCAAGTACATACCTTCATTAAGAAATAAAGTGTTTGACCTTTTACTTGTGGTTTTTGTTATTACATTCATATTACGCTTAATACACATGTTCACTGAGAACAATTTAATTAAAAAATAAAAGAACTCCAGAAAAGAAAGGACCGAATCTAAAGTAACTATATCGAAATCAAAATTGAGTAAAATATTATTACCAGATCGAGTCGGGAACAAGTTCTATAAACCGAATACATTATTAAAGAAGTTCTCACAGTTTTTTATTTGTATTTGCAGGCAATTTTGAGCTGTCCAGAAATGAGGGAGATATTTTTGGAAATAAAAACCAAATTTCGAATAGAAGTTTTGTAAATCGATTACCTTTCTAGTTTCCTGCCTTTTGCAGGCTGTCAGCAATATATAAATATCCATTTATTATTTATACACGCTTGCATAATTTATTCTTAAATAATTATGGAACCTTTCACATAATCATTTTATATCTTGTCAATAAAAAACTATGAAAGTACTTTCTATCGTATTAGTTATATATCTGTGTCTTGTTAGGAATAAAATTCGAATCTGTTTCATAAGTTGTGAGAACTTTGTTTTTATCTAATGATATCAGAGATGATAATCTGGTTATCGTATCATAGTTTTCGAAAGTTGGAGTATTTTCTTGTAAACTCGAATGGGAAAGAATATTCAGAATTTTGTATTATCATTGAAACATCACCGTCTATCTATTCAGAAATTGCTCGAATTTCCGAAAACTGTTCAATATTAAGTAATGTAAGCACTGCAAATGATTTCTAAATTGGCATCATATGAATTTTTCCATGTGTTTACCCATTGTAAAATGTCCACGATGAAATTGGACTAACGAACTGTTATTTGTAAGTATTCATTGCTTCATTGCTTCACATTATTCATTTCAAATATACCCATTCACCTTACCATCTGGTACAGTGGATTTAATGTATCTCAATATTAGATTATACTTTTAAATGTGAAGTTTATATATAGAATGAATACACGTTAAAAACATCTGTAACTATAATTTATTTATAATAATGAAGTACAGTAATTAATATTTATAAAGCAACAATGAAATAACTTAGGAAGATTATTTATTGAGATTAGAATACCTCTGCTATGCATTTGAACAGTTAACATGAGTATGTACATGTACAGAAATAATACTTTATGTTTGGTCTTT